TAACAACATGACGAGCTAACAACATGATAAGCTAACAACAACAACAACAAACGAGTCCAAAGTTTTCTGAACATTTGAAACTGTCCAGAGACAAAATACGTCAAATGTATTTTGTTTGTTAAAGATAAAATAAAAAATAAATAAATAAATAAAGGAACACAAACTTTTACAAGAAACTTGAAAACTAGAAGTTTTCTTGGTTACAACACTCATGGATAACAATAATAACAATAATAAATATTGTGATTATAAATACCATTTATTATTAGTATTAGTAGTAGTAGTTATTATTATATGTTGATGAGAGTTTTAAGGTTTCAAACCAAAACTTTAAAAACTCAAATTATTTTTTTAACCCCGCCCCCCCCCTCCTCATTGGCCTACAGCCTCTAACATCTAATATTTTAATATGTTCTTTTATTAATATTCATTCCCAGCTCATCATCATCATCGTGTCGATCGTCTTTAAAGCCCCGTTCATTCATGAGGTTGAAAAGAGTCAACAACAAATAAAGTTGGATTGATTTTTCTATGTTATTACTGTTCTTTTCTTCTGTGCATGAATCTGTCTCTATGGGGGTCCTGTAATTATGGGGGAGGGGCCGGGCGGCAAACAGGCAAAAATCAGTGTATACCTGCCCCCCCCCCCCGTCTTTTGTTCTTGTTCTAATCTGAAAATAAAAAGGGTTTTCACTGAGTCACTGGTTTTGTTCAGATGATATGAAACTGTTTGATTCTTTTGTGACTGATCAACTAATTACAGAATCATTTTTTTTACCTAAATATACGAGATATTTATTTATTTTTAAAATCATGTCATTTCACCATTGATCATTTACTTTATAATTTGGCCACACGGTGGAGGAGTGGTTAGTTCTTTTGCCTGACAATGTGAAGATGTCCACTGACAGAACCAAGAACCAACAGGATCAGGTCTGTCTGCGCTCTGATTGGCTGACAGGGTTAAACAGTAGGAAACCAGGAAAATCCAACTTTTCAAAAGTCAAACGTTGACACCGTCTGAGGGACAAATGTCCGTCCTCTGTGTCTTACCTTCACTTTCTCACGTCTTAAGCAGCAGAAGAGACAGTTCTCATCGAAGGACCAGTCGGACACTTCCTCCGGCTCACAGTCTACGTCACAGACAAACACACAAAACCACATCAGTTAAAACAACACCACGCACCTCCGAGTAGTTACCGGTGGTCAGTAGTGGTACTGCACTTTGAGACGGAAGAAAAGTTACAGTTGTTTCATTAATAATCCATTGACAAAACGATCAACCGTTAGTGTGACTTTGTTGACATTCTTTTATGGAAACTCCAGTTTTAACAACAGCACCCCCTGTGGTACAGTTAAGAAATGCGGGAACATTTTTGCACCTTGGCAGATGAGTGTGGAATATAAGGATGTACAGCTGGTTTTATACCGTGTGTGTGTGTGTGGGGGGG